AGGAGGGATGGGCTCCATAGCCCATCCAAAACTGTGGAGGGAGAGAAAGAGCAAAGACACAACCCATCATTCTGAGGGCAGGATGGATTCTCTCTCTATCTCTCTTACTCACTCACACATACACACACACACACACCATCTTCCTCTTGGAATGCAGGGCTTGCTGCTTCTTTGTGTCCCCTCGCCCTGCCTCCAGCTACCTTACCAGACCTGGACTACTGACTGATCACCCGCAGGCATGGCTCATTCCCCCTTCCTCTCCCCCCCGCCTTCCCCCTTTGTGAGTCTCCACTTCTCAGCAATCACAGCCAGGCCTGGTCTGGTCTGAGTCAGCGTCTGAGGCCCAGTGACTCACAGCATCAAAGAGCAAGGCTGGATTCCTATCTTTCATTATCTTTTCCAGCCCAGGAGCCTCCATCTATAGGGAACCTTTTTCATCTGCAGAACGCTCTAGAGCCACAGGTCCTTGGTAGGGGTGAGGGTTAGGGAGGGAGAAACAATAGTACCTGCTTAGGCATTCCGCCCCCCCCCCCAATCACCTATCCTGCTCACACCACCACACTGCTACCTGGCCTGCAACTGGCAACCTTTGCCCCTAGCCTACATTGTCCCTCTCTCTAAAGATGCAAAGCAGTCCTTCCCTATCATGGCGAGTGCTTGCTTCGCGATAACAACCTGCTTGAGAAGGCAATCCATCAATGATGGAGCATGATATCAAGTAATCACAGGTCTCTGTGGCAAGAGAAGACCTCCAAGGAGAATCACCATTTACCCTACGGTCCCAGCAGGTAGTTCAGCTAGCCGATTGTGAACGAGTAGAAGACAACATCATAAGATAGCAGGGTGGAGGGAATTCAACCTTCCCAATGTTGCTGACTATAAAACTCATCATCCTACATCAGCAGTTAGGCTGATCACACATTTTCCATGAAAGCTATCTGTTCCCATGCTTTTTTTTTTTACAACCAGCAATGGAGTAACTGGAATTTCAAGCCACTTTGGATGTTTCTCCATTAACATGTTCCATGTTTATCCTATTCCAGTGGCTGCCAACCTCAGGTCCCCTGATGTTCTTGGACTACAGCTCCCAGAAATCCTAATGCTGCTGCTTTGGGGATGAACAGTAGGTCGAAGGCAGAGATAACTCTACTTGATATTAAACGGCATGGCTTAGGGCTCTGGCTCCTCCAACCTTGAGTCCCCAGATGTTCTTGGATTAAAACTCCCAGAAGCTCTTCACCACTAGCTGTGCTGGGGCAGGACTTAAAGAGTCCCAGAACATCTGGAAGCCCAAGATTGGGAGCCACTGCTCTAGGGGTTTTGAAGTTTGCAGGAGCTATGGTGGTGCCCTGTTCCCAGGCTCCTCTCGGCAATCGGCAAGGACTGCGGAACCAGCAGCCCTGCAGGTACAGACAGTACGGCCAGTGGTTGACCTTGGTACACAGTGGAGTCCAGCAACAACTGGAAGGCTGCCCATTCCCCACCCCCAACTGTACATTAGACAAAAGATGCTGTTCATGGAAGTGGGGGGAGGATCTGTGCCACCTGCCTTCTCCTGGGACCTCAGGGCAGGTGCCCGCTAAAGACAAAAGTGCTACAACCACATTGAGAGTCACTTCACCCTCAGAACAGAATCTTGGGGCCTCATTCCAAGCCAACAGCAAGGATACGGAGGTTGAAGGAGCATGGGCGTTGTAGCTGGTTCGTTGTAGCTCAGGGAGGCCCATGCAAAGGCAGAAACACGTACACAAATGAACTAGTTTAGTTTTGAAGAATTAATGATAAAATTCAATGTTGCTCAAAGGATAGCGCTGCTAGACGACAGCAGAGGTTGGGTCATTACAACCAGAGTGGAATTTCACTTTCTTACTCCACCAGGGTTTTGTGGAGGAAGTGGTTAAAATGCTGGTCCAGAACTTGGGAGATGAGGGTTCAGGTCCTCCTTTGACCATAAAACTCACTAAAGGTCTTTGTCCATTTCATTCTCCTAAAACCTGAGTCACCTCACAGGACTGTTGGAAAGATAAATAGCTCAGTGGTTTAGGCCTCCGGCTGCAGAGCCAGAGGTTGGCAGTTCAATTCCCCACTGGGCCTCCTTGACAGGGGCTGGACTGGTGCTTTCCATAAGGTCCCTTCTAGTCCTGCAGATGTAAATTATTATTATAAAAAGGAGGAGGGGAGCCATGTATGCCATATCACCTGAGGAAAGGCAGGGCAAATATATAACAAGTAAGTAGTAAAGCCACACCACTTCCTACTTGGGTGTCCTGCGGGGCCTTTTCCTAGCACTGAAAGCCATCATCAGTTGTCCAAATATAGGAGTCTCCTAAGGTGGAGAAACACCAGGTAGGCTTTCTTTGCTGGGTTCCATACCATAAAAACTATCATCACAAATGCTATACAAACTACTTAACTATGGAACCTGTGCAACTGCCAAAAATAAAAAAATTTCCAAGATAGTCCTAGTTGACTTAGGCAGCAAAAGCCATGTGAGATGTCAGAGGGCATCCAACAGATACTGTATTCGCTATCTTCACTAACATGTATTTTTAAAGCAAAATGTGAACTTTTGTGTCAAATTAATCTTCTCTAACCTGGCACACAATCTGTTTGTTTTAGACTCCAACACCCATCATTCCCCCACCCATGCAGCCAGCATCTATTCAGCTTTGGATGACATTTGTCATAGCCAACACCCCTGGACGACACTAAATTCGGAAAGGCACTTTAAGGTATCGTCAAGTGCTTTCCGTCTATCCCATTTTCATGGGAAACATAAATGCTCTTTAATTTAGTAGGAATTCCTTTTCTCCACCGAGGTGAAGAAATGGGTGGCCCTTCAGATCTTTCTGGATTCTGTACTGTACCCTTCCCATCATGTCCTACAAACTGTGACTTTTGCCACTTGCTGTGCTACCCAGGACTTTTGGGAGTTGCAGTCCAAGAACATCTGAGGACCCCAGTTTGAGAACCACTGTATTATACTGCAGTATAGTTATATTGGCTAGAAGTCTTACCAGAGCTACAATGCATCAACATCTGGAAAGCCACGTTCCCCTACCCCTTGCATAGGCTGGATTACTCCAAGAACCAGGATAGCCAAGGGCCTCATTTCAATCCACAAGGCTTCAGTTTCCCCCATAAGGTGGTAATAACCCTCCCACAGGAATTAGACTACAATCCCCATCTTCCTCAGCCATTAGCCATGGGATGGACGATAATTGCAGGCCCATGCATCTGGAGAAGACCACAGCTTTCGCATATCCTGGATTAAGCCCAGGCAGCATCCCTCAACGTGGGGTGCCATGCCCCTAGGCCAGGCTAGGGCACACAGTTTGTGGTCGGAAGGGAATCGGATATTGCTTAATGACAGTCCCAGCGGCCATGGGACCCATCGGCCTGGAAGCCAGCAGCTCAGCCGCAGCGATTCCCCGCCCCTCTCCTTCCTTTCTCGCTTTGCCACAAAGTCGCGGCAACTCCGCTCGCCATCTGGCAGCGGACCAGACGCCTTGGGGGTGTGGGGAGAGGAAGAGAGAGAGGGAGGGAAGGAGGGAAAGAATGAAAGAAAGAAGGAAGGAAAAGGCGCTGGCGAAGTTTTCCGCGGACCGCCGGGGCGGGCGGGTGAGCGGCCGGCCGTCGCGAGTGACCCGCCCATTCATAAGCGTCCGAAAGCGGCCAGCTTCGGTGGGAGGCGGTAGCCCGTCCCAACCGAGCCTCGTTGGGTGCCCTGCCCTGCCCTCCCCTCCCGGAGTTAAAGGAGAGTTGGCGGGCCTTTCCGCAGTACGAAAGCGCCTCGAGGTGGGCTGGGCCAGAAAGAGTCGGGGGGTCGGGGAGGAAGAGGAGCAGGCGGCCCATTCATAAGCGTCCGAAAGCGGCCAGCTTCGGTGGGAGGCGGTAGCCCGTCCCAACCGAGCCTCGTTGGGTGCCCTGCCCTGCCCTCCCCTCCCGGAGTTAAAGGAGAGTTGGCGGGCCTTTCCGCAGTACGAAAGCGCCTCGAGGTGGGCTGGGCCAGAAAGAGTCGGGGGGTCGGGGAGGAAGAGGAGCAGGCGGGGCCGAGGCACCGAGTCTCT